TATATATATATATATATATGTATGAACTAGATAGTTATTATTGAGATATCTAGGGTGTATCTGCGTATCGGGTCACTGTATGGATTGCAGTTAGATTAGAACTTGTTCATAGGCTTGACCCATTCTTATATTTTTTCAGGTATCGGACGGTTCCAATCTTAGGCTTGATCGTGCTGAGCAGAGACTATCATTCACTCTACCGACGACGTAGGATCTCATTCTATGTTTTAGATTTGGTTTTATTTTCAGTTATTTTATGTTCAGTTGGGATTTGATTTAGGGATCCACTAGATGGATTCCCGAGTTGTACTCTTGGAGGTTTTGGAGAGTTGGGTTTTATAAATCTTTATTTGGAGGATTTTCTATTTAATAAATTCCTTCAGCTTTATTAGTTAATTATGAATTCTTTTTATATTCTGTGTTCGTTTTAAAATATTAATTGTTTGATATTCCCTCGGGTTTGGGCTTGGGCCTGATCACCCGTATCTCAAATCCGAGGGGTATCACAGTAGAGAGGTCGCCCAACAAGGGTTAACCTAAAATGAGATTGATTTCTGCTAAAGAGAGGTTAGTCAAAAAACACTTTGACATTCTCGATACTTGACAAGCAAGCACGAGAATGGGGACAACTGATAAAGATAAAAATAATAGGCAACTCAAAGTCAAATGAGAAATGAGGTAAGGGTAAAGATAAATCCCCAAGGAATAAAAAATCTCTCTGACGGTTACCATATGTAACGACAGTTACCATCTCCTATAAATAGGTAAATAATCGACTTGAAAGGTAGGAGATAATTAATATATTAAATCTTTGCTATTATTTCAGAGCTCCATTGACTAACTTAAACGTCGGAGAGTTCTTGGCAAGCACCACACCGGTGTTGTCAAGATTCATTACTTCTCTTGGCTCTGGAGCATGTAGATTTTTGCATCAACACCATATATTCAACACAAATAAATTAACCTAATGAGATAACATTCTTGTATAATTTGAATGAAATGGCAAAGGCATTGTTGGTTAAGAGGACAAAACCGGTAGCGGTGACACTGATGGTTGTTTTTGGACTTGAAAAGTATTGTTTTTGGAATGAGATTTGATTATTATTATAACTTCACCAGTTGTTATTACATCAGTAACAAATAAATTAACTTAATGAGATAACTTTCTTTTCTAATTTTAAAGAAATGGACAAGGCATTGTTGTTGGTAGAAGAGGATAAAATCGGTGGCGGTGACACTAATGGTTGTTTTTTGACTTAAAAATTAAAATATGAGGTTATTTTTGGAATGAGATTTGATTATTATTATTATTATTTAATTTTACCTTTTTTTTTCTTTTTTCTTTTCGTTTTTTTTTTTTTTTTTTTGAGTTTTAAGCAACTGATATAAAAGGAAATAATAAACATGCTATAAGTTAAGATGCGAAATGAAATTTTATTATTTACCTATTTTCACTTTGATATTTTTATCAAAAACAATCAACTCAGCAAAGTCGATCAGCATTCCATTTCATCCTTCATACCAAACGCACCATTAAGTTATAAAACCATTCCGCTCCCAAACGCACCATTAAGTTATAAAACCATTCCGCTCCCATTCTCCATACCAAACGCACTCCCATTCTCCATACCAAACGTAACATTAGGTCATAAAACCATTCTTCCTAGTAAAAATTATCAAGGGACTTGAAGCCTCGTAAAACCATTCCATCCTTCTTACCAAACGCACCATTAGCTCATAAAACCATTCCACTCCACATTAGGTCATAAAACAAACCATTCTTGGTGGTCCTTATCCTTTAAAAAGGTGTAAAAATTATCAAGGGAGTTGAAGGCTCCACGTAATTAGAATGCATGTAAAATATTCGACACCTCCTCCTTCTACAGTAAAGATCCGGTCCCTCCCCTGGAAAGAGGCTACAGTTATGTACTGAGAGAGAGACCCACGTGCTCACGTAGGAAGAGACGATGCTAGAGAACGACAGGTGGACGGGACCATGTGTCCGTGTCAACGTGTCACCATATAGACATGGTGGTCCACATGCAATTAGCTAAGAAAAACCCCATAAGCACACCTTTTAATATAATATATAATATATTATTACAACAACACATAAATAAAAAAGGGTTAAATGCATTAAACCCGCCTCAACTTTCTTCTCTTTCCCAATAAACCCGCCTGATCTAAGTGAAGTATACTTAACTCCCTAAACTATTTTAATTGTTGCAAAACGTTATTAGGCCGTTTAAAATCTAACGTCCAAAGAAGGCACATGACTCACATGACTAAGTTAAAATCAATAAAGACAAAAATAACCTTGAATGTGTAAAGTTTGCTTATACACCAATGTATCGTCAACGAAGACCAAGAGGAATATATATATATATATATATATATATATATATATATATATTACCTCCTTCCTTTCTCTTCAAACAACCTACAGCATCTGTCCATGGCTGTCACCTCCACCATCCGCCCATAGCCACCACCGACACCGCCACCCCCACAAAATACTTTTCCCCCACAATCACCTCACCTTCCACGGCCGCCACCACAACCGCTCTCTCCCCAATCCACCTCCCTCTCTTTGTCCTCCAACTTCGGCAACAACAAGAACTTCAATACCGATGAGAAGTGGGTTTATTCTGCAGCGGTAGTGACAGAGGTGTTCGGCAACGGCGAGCTTACCGGAGAACACAATGACTATTCGCGATGGCGGCGCTGAACCACATGGGCAGACGGCAATGAGTTGAATTGAAACAGCGGTGGCAAGCAAGGATGAACCCACGGGACGGCGACGATTGTTCTTAACGATGGTCGCGGATCAGAACGGTGGCGGTAATGACTGTAGGAGTCTCGAAGATTCAATGAATTACGACAATGGTGGCGATGAATTTCGAAGATGCCAGTGAGCTTACCGATGAGCAATAGAACTGAACTGGATATGAAGATTTGAGATTGAGATACCTGAATATTGAGATTTGAGAGCAAATGAGAAGGATATATTTGCTGAAAATCAATGGCGAACGAGAGAGGATTTGCTGAGACTGAAAATTAGGGCTTCAAATTTGGGGGTTTTTGTTTGCGATTTCTTGGGTTCGTTCTCAGCATATGATGCTCTCAATGGTGAAAATGATTTCTTTCTTCAGGCCAATTATGGATGTATGAGATTTTGATAGCAAAGACTACGAGAATGGTCCAGTTTTGAATGGTTCTTGGACTATAACTAATAATTTATCTTCCCTACTTTAAGAGTTTTATATCTGGGAAATGATTGTTCTTAACATATTTCCAAGGTGCTATATAATAAACAATTTGCAGTGATTACTAATGCTCTTTGAACCGTGAATTCAGATTAATTCCATCAGAAAAAGGTCAACCGTCTATGTTTGCCGATCTCCGACCATAACAAATAAGATATTTAAATGGAGAGAGACATGCACCAAATCCGATCAATCCCAATATACAACCTATTTAAATTGGAACCCATTTTGATACTTTGATGTTATTACTTCACAATTTCCTTTCATCTCCTTCAATTTCTTGTTGGCCCCAAGAAATACTATTGACGAGATAGACACAGAAAGGAGGGTGGTGGTGGCTGCCGATAGAGAAGAATTACAATTATTATATATATAATTTTTCACTAATTGAGTTGTCTTTCTCTTATTGGTGGAGAATTGTTTTGTCCACTTTAATAAAATAATTCTGAGTTGGCCAATTTTCATTAGACATAGAGATTACAATTGTTACATCAGCCTATCCAAAAATAATAATAATAATAAATTTTTTAAAAAAAAATAATAATTCAACACGAAGGGCTAAATGGTAATTTTCGTTTTCTGTTAACGGCTCAATGACGGTTCTTGACTAAGTGCAACAAAATGATAGTTTAATAGGTTTTACTTACTTCAAGGGAGTTTCTTGTAATCGGGTTATAGTTAAGGTGGGTTTAATGCACTTAACCCAATAAAAAATTATTAAATATAGCCATATATAGTTAGAACCAACCACTCATCATCATTGTGCTTATGAATGGAAAATATGTCGGAATCCAATTTCGAATCCTACCCTCCATTTTTTCGCCCACCGATTGCCTCACTGGAGGAGGGCTTTTTTGACTTGGAAAAACCCACCAAACAAACCCTAGACCTACCTGTAATCGACCTTGAGTGCATAGACCATGACAGGCTGAGTGAGGCCTGTAAAGATTGGGGGGTGTTTCGTTTGGTCAACCATGGAATTCCAGTCACCCTATTGAACCAACTTCATGACCATGCCAGGAAGCTCTTTTTTCTTTCCTTCGAGTCCAAACAAGCCCTCTTCACCAATCCCATAGCCTACTTTTGAGGTACCCCTGCCCTTACCCCATCTGGCCGGGTTGCCCTACAGAAAGGTCCACAGCCCCAGCATGTCAACTGGATGGAAGGCTTCAATGTTCTTCTCCGTGAACTGTCACATCTTCAATATGACGATCCACTGCTCGATTCTTTCGGGTATGCCTTTTTCTCTGTGTGTGCATGCCCCTTTTAATACGAGTTGATAGAAAAGGGATTCGGTGTAACGTTTGTGGACGGTCCGAGGTCCGATCCATTAGAACATACAGAATTCCGATTCTACTAAATATTCATTTCACCACTATACTTATATTATAGGTGCAACTCGACTTGTCATATCTGAAATATTTTGTTTTATTAATTATTGACCATTCAAAATTTCATATGTATATATATATATATAAGGAAGGAATGCACTCCTGACAAAATTGTGCTGAAAAGGATTATATGAGGACATATTTGACTTTGTACCTCATTTACAGCGTGAGCAATAATTGTGTGTATATATATATATATATATATATATATATATATATATATATATATTAGTTTGATCCTGAAATGCCGCCATTTCATGTCTCTTTTACTCGGAGCTTTCTTGTGATTTCACTTGAGTTTGGCTCTTCTGCCAATCAAGACTTGTGAATTGATATAATGGGGCCTCTACATATGATATGAATCTATGATACAAAAGGGTTCAAAAGACAATGTCATTTTGCAACAATAAATATGATGTCATTTTGTTAAACAATCATCACAAGAAGGCAAGCATAGGAGGTCCACAAACATATAGTAATTGCATGTGACAACAAGTTGGTTAGTTTTTTTTTTTTTTTTTTTTTTCATCTGTTTTTCTTGCAAATAAAATAACATGTTAGATTTGTTTGTAAATACCACGTTGATTTATATATTTTTAAGGGGTGTTAGTTAAGTTTGGTCATTGATGTGTTGATGTTAAATGTGTGGTTATAAGTCTCTGGATGATGTTTTTGTCTGTAGATATCGTATGGCGTTTGGTTTGTTTTCTTGTCAGGTAAAAAAAAAAAAAAAATTTGTCTCTCTCATAAAATGACACCAATTAGGGAATTAACTAAAGCAATTAATTTTTATATTTGATTAATTATTTATTAGGCTTCTGTTGGATTCTGGAAGGCACCAATCCAGAGTAGTTACAACAATATTTGAAGCCATGGCAGAGAACCTCAACATGTGTCTGAAACATTCGGGTTCTTTTCTCTCACCGGCCACCGGACTGGCACGAGTCTACCGGTATCCATGTTGCCCTGAGACTAACCGAGCATGGGGCATGGACACCCACACTGACAGCTCAGTGATTTCCATATTAAACCAAGACAAAGTAGGAGGACTTCAATTTCTCAAGGACGATAAGTGGCTCGATGTACAGCCCATTCCCAACACCCTAGTCATCAATCTTGGAGATATAATGCAGGTCTGTATTTTCGTATCATCCTCATCTACACACAGACACACACACACACACACACACACCCAGTCACACACACACACATATGTATATAGAAATGTATACGTCTTGTTAAACATCTCCAAAAACTAATTTTTTTATGGGACATTCCTTGCCGTCCTTGGGCCTGTGGGATCCACCATTGCAGGACTTGTAATAGTGGATCCCATAGAGTAAATTTGGAAGGTGAATTGCATTGCTTTTTTTGTGATGGACTGAGATCATATATTTTTTAATAATTTGATAGACGTCTGAGATTATATGCAGTTATTTTTGTTGTTTTGATTTTGTTAATGAATGAATTAGGCAATGAGTGATGATAAGTACAAGAGTGTGAAGCATAGGGTGAAGGTGAACAAGCATGAGGACAGAATATCAATAGTCTACTTCGTGTTCCCTGCGGATGACTTTGTGATTCGAAGCTCAAAATACAAGCCATTTACAAATGCTGATTTTCGAGCACAAACACAACAAGACTTGAGGACCGTCGGGTTTAAGGTTGGGCTCGACAGATTCAAACTCACTCAGGCCTGTTCACTTCTATTGGGTTTGGCCCTCTTGTGTTTTTTTTTTTTTTTTTTTTTTTTTTAAATCCGAAAGAAAAGTCAGACTTTTGTTGTATAACTTTTGTTAATATTGTACTTTATTTGGTAAATTAGTTGTGTGCGTGCGTGCGTGCGTGTTTTTTTTTTTTTTTTTTTTTTTTTTTTAAAGCTACTACCATATATTTTTAACTCCCGGTAATGATAATTCGGACTCTCTGAATACTCGCATTCAATTTTGACCAAAAAAAAAAAAAAAACACACACACACACACATTCAAATCAGACTCTCAAAACACTTTTAGGTTTTCTTAGTTGGTCGGAGATATAATATATACACACATTAGAGGTTATAGGTATGTCTGTCAAGTCTGTGTTTGCACACACATGGTTATGTTTCTTACAATGAGTGACATCTATGTTATCCATCCATTATGATTCTATGATAAAAGGAATTTGTGGCCTAATTGTATTTCATGTATCTCTTAAAGTGAATAATGATGTTCGAGTCTTTAACAAAATAAAGTCACTAATTGTGAATAATGATGTTCCAGTCTTTAACAAAATAAAGTCTCTAATTGTATTTCATGTATCTCTTAAAGTGAATAATGATGTTCGAGTCTCTAACAAAACAAAGTCTCTAATTGTATTTTGTAAAGTGGATAATGAAGTTCGAGTCAAACAGAATAAATTTGTAAAGTGAATGTGTGTTTGTTACCGAATGAAAATAATATATAAAATTTTATGGCCCCAAGAAGTTCAATATATATATATATGTACACACACACTAAGAAATTCAAATTTTGATTTTTTTATTTATTAATTATATATATATTTTTTTTTAATTCTCTTGTTTAATCCAGCATTGTCTGCTGTTTAGTAAAAGTCATACAACCTTGTAATTATTTTGTTAAGCGTTGACTACTTGGTGAAATTTTAAATAAGGAAAATGCTATACTCGACTAATTTAGATTTGTGATTTTATATGGAATTATGTAGTTCAGCTTATTTGTCTGCTTAGTGTATTTTAAAAGTTTTTTTTATATATATATATATAGTAAAGAGAAAAAATAGCAAAATTTATCATTATAGAATTTAAACCCTAAATAATTCAATAATTTGAATTTGAGTTTGCTTATATATCTTCTTGGTTGATCTTTTCTATTAAATTTTTAAATAATTAAAATTATAAACTATAATTTTTTATTATGAATTAGTTATCTCTTTCTAATAAATAAGAACATTAATTTACATAATTTACTTGAAGCTTTTTATAATTATATTTTAGTTCAATATTTTCGGTTAAATTTTAAAGAGATACTTATAATATATATATATAATTGAGAAAGTGAAGAAGAGAATGAAAAATATTAGTAAAGAAACGCAAATTATAAAAAAAAAAAAAAAAAAATCAGTGTGATTTTTCGTTTGTACCTTTTCCTTCAATTTGTTTAGTTTATTAAAGTAGGAAATACAAATGTATAAACTAATAAAGTGTAATATGCATTAAACTAAAATAAAATAAAATAAAAAAATCATGTTTTTTTTTAGTTATCCCACGTTAGATTCAAAGATGTGTAACACTGCTCAATAAATAATCATGTTAACATATTGATGAAATTAATTGTCATTTTTCACAGATTTGTAATAACTTTTGTCTATAATGCTTTTTTGTTTAGTTTATTTTTTAATGTTTACATTTTAGTAAGCAAAGTTTCCTAAAGTATTTTTATTAAATAACCAAAAAAAAAAAAAAAAGTAACCATGCTTTCTTTTATTACTTTTCTTAGTTAAATTAACTTTTATTTCTTTGACTTTATAATTTTATATTTAAAAAGTTAAAAGTAAAATTGTAAGCTTACTTGTATTAATTATCTTTTAAGTAATAATAGTATATATGATTCAAAGTTCAAAACACACATGACTCACAAGGGATCTTTATCTGATTAATGTTATTATCAAAGAAATCAAAATCCTCTCTCGGATATATATTTTGTTCTGTATTGTTTCATTATCCAACTTCATAACATTTGGGTTTTGCTTGTTTTCACGTAAAATATTTTTATTTTTAAGTAATATATATTTTTTATTTTTATTTTTTCGGTACTTGACAAAGATCTGGATTGAGGTAGAAGTTAAGTCAATCAGACGGAACGTGTAAAATAATTTATCAAAAATTAATGAAAAATTATTTTTGTTAAGTTTTAATAACAAATATGATAATCAAATATCAAAAAATAAAAAATATATATTTTACATCCAAACAAACAGAATATTATTTTAAAATTTTATAACTTTAAATAGTAAATTTCATAGCATTTATTAGTAAGTTTAAATTGGTGAAATTTCACCTTTAAAATGATAGAATTTTAAAAAAAATGTGATAAGATTGCAATGTAAAGTATTGCGGGAAAAAGTGTCCCGAATAAAATTAACATGCGCCTTTGAAGAACAACTCCCAAACATGTACTATGTTACCAATTATTGATTTCACGATATAAATAGGGCTGCAAACGGCGAACTACTCGGGCTCGGCTCGAACTCAGTTCATTTATGAACCAAGCTTAAGCCAAATTTTGAGACTCGATTCATAAACGAGCCGAGCCTGAATATTAGTGGGCTCGGCTCGTTTGTTTATGAACCGTTCACGAACTGAGCTCGATAAGGCGTTCGCGAACTGAGCTCGATAAGGCGTTCGCGAACATACTCAATTATAATATTATATATATATATATATATATATATATATACACGTATATACATATCCAATTATAATATACTCCCTCCGTCCCTTTTTTGTTGTGAACTGTGACTCACAACAAAAAAGGGACGGATGGAATATATATACATACATATCCAATTATAATATACTCCCTCCATCCCTTTTTTGTTGTGAACTATGACTCACAACAAAAAAGGGACGGAGGGAGTATAATTTTATGTTATGAAGGCTTAGTCCACAGGCCATTAAATTTTTTAGTTATGTTTTAGACCCAATTTTATTATTTATTCATTTTAAAACAAAAAACCAAGCCCATCTGTACAATCAAACAAAAGGCCATTAAATTTTTTAATTATGTTTTAGACCCAATTTTATCATGTATTCATTTTAATTAAAACAAAAACCAAGCCCATTTGTATAATCAAACACAAGTCCATCTGTACAATCAAACCCAAACCCATGTCTTATGTCTAACCCTAATCATCTTTCCTTTTTCTAAAATTATCAGTAGCCCAAGCAGCAGCGGCAATACACTCAACAATTTGCTTTCAGTCATAAAATCTTACTTCTCTCTCTTTCTCTTCTTATATTTGATTTTTATGTATTAATTGTCTTTCATCCAAACTGATTTTTAGTATAAATTTTGGGGTTTATTATTAATCTATGCATCTCTGAACTTCTTCTATCAAAATCAACTCTGGTAAGTTTAATTTTCGATTAAATTTATCACTTTCTTTCTCTTTTTCTCTCAAACTTCTCTCTTTTTATTGCTGCAAATCTATTTCTCTCATTTTATTTTATTTTTTATATCGGTTAGATGCGAAATACAAAAAAAAAATAAAATAAAATAAGTAGTTAAATACCTCGAGCGCGGCTCGAGGCTCATTGAATAAAGCCGAGCTGAGCTTGAACCAAAATTTCTCGGCTCGGCTCAAGCTTAAGCCCAGCTTGAGCATTCTATCACTTGAATCGAGCCAAGCTCGAGCACACCATGGCTCGGCTCGATTGCAGCCCTAGATATAAATGTGAGGATCTTAGATAAACGGCTGGAAAGGTGCCAAGATTAACGACTAATGAAAAGAGTTATTAGTGTTATTAGGGGTGCACACTAGTTTGGTACGATTCTTGAACAAACTGGAACCATTCTTAACAGTTCCTACTATAAATATAGAGCATAATGTGAGATATTAGTTGTCGAATTGGCATATTTTGGTTTCAAAATATGTCTCAATGAGTTGTAGTTTTTGTTTAATTTTGTGAATTTTGATGTAGGAAGTGGAACAACACCGGTAGTCAATATGGCATTCAATTTTGATTCAGTTGGGAACATAGAAATATGGCGTTCAATTTTGATTCAGTTGGGGAACATAGAAAAAGTATATTGGTAAGGACACGTTATTTTTACCATTGGTGAGTTTTGGTGCCACACCAGAACCGGTCGCACTTCACACAACTAGTTACGTTCATTGTTTTTCAAACAATGTTTCTGAATAAAATTTCACTGGCGTAGCGGAACCTGTTACACACATGTTTTTAAAATACCTTTTTGAAATGGTAACTCATTGCCACTACAAAACCGGATGATTCAAGTGGAACCGGTTGCATTAGTTGTTTCCTAAGTTGTTGAATTTTACACTGGTCTTGCGGAAACGGTTGTGGCGAACGGAATAGGGCTGATCACAGATCGGATTGGTTCGGTTTGGGGTAAAGTTCAATCCAATCTGATTCTCATGGATTGGTGAAATTTGAAACCGAACCGATCCGTGAAGATCTTCAATCCGAATCAAACCGATCCGTGAAATAACAGATCGGATTTGTTTAGTTTACAAGGATTGGGATTTTCAAACAGCCCAATATGATTACACTTTATTGCCATTAAAATCTCAAATTAGTAATTAAACTTGTAATGACACTTTGGTGACCTAGGTTAACTTAAAGTCTTAAATAATGAATTAAAAAAAATAGAAATATGGTAAGTATATATATAGTTATATATATAATATATTAATATATAATTAAGGTAACGGATCGGATCGGTTTTTCCAGGGACCGCGAATAGCGGATTGCTATTTTTCTAAACCATCACTGAACCACAAGATCTAAAAATCGAACCGAACCACACGGATTGGATTGGTTCATACCGGATTGACAAATTATTTGCTCACCCCTATAACAGAACCGTTAAGTTGTTCTGAAACCAATCTAGATTTGTAATTCTAGTCCAACTTGGTTTCCTTTTTTATAAGTTTTTGCGAGATGTTTTGCACAAATTTTACTTGATTTCCAAGTATTTTTAGGTCTTCCTAACATCTATATAATATCTTTTTACTCCTAAATTTTTATAGCTTTTCAAAGAAAAATTTCACATAAT